CACACCAGCGCGCCTAAATATCTGAAAATCGTGTGCAGACGCTTATTAGCTCGTTCTGGAAACTTGGCGAACCTTTTTTTCCTAGTCTGGACTAGCCATAATGTAAAACTCATCCACTTCTCGGTAGCTGCGGCTTGAGCGTGGGATTTCGAAGTGTAATTTTACTTTGTAACTAGTCGATCGCGCGGGTTTGTTTGTACCAGATACGTGATCCGGAGATCAAACACGTGGATGTGTTGGAAATCCCGTAAGCCATGGTTATTCTATGCACACGTTAGAAAGTCTAGATTTACATGCAAGCCGAAAAGCTCCGACTGCTGCTTTCAAAAAGCTTTAATATGTAAAAAGTTCTCATTCCACGTTAATCGAATTAAGAAGTCATGTGAACAGCTTTCATTGAAACTGTTTAATACGGCTTGTTCTTCCGCTACACGATATTAATGTCAAGCCCTTGTCCCAGTGATAAATTATGACAAATAAACAAGAAACGATCTTGTTCCACAATCGCGGGTCATTCTAGCCAGCAGCGGTAAAACTGAATGGTTTTATGTGATCGTAACGAGCGTATCGACGTCAGCGTACTCGTACTTAGCGCCCGGGTGCGAAGTTACACAACGGCGGCGCTAAGTGGCGACGTCGCCGTACATCCGAAATAAACTAGACTATTTACTTTGCAGCTCCTCGCGTTTCAGCATATTGGCAGTATCCTCGACATGGGAGCGATGAAAACGAAACGTGTGAAGCAGATGCATTGAAAGGTTTATTGGGTGTGGATTTTGTTGTGGAAAGCGTGTTGTGAGAAACTTTGACAAACACAGCTATTATGCAGTGTCGACTGCCATGTGAGTTCGACATTAACTTTCTTAATAATACATGTGTGATAAGTTTTTTGCATCTTGTAGTCATACTTCGACTTCCTCACTCTTTAGAAACGAGTAAATACAAATCATCTACATAAAGGGGGATAATTTTAAAATTCGCGTTAATATATCAGCATCCTGATCAGATTATTGAGTCGTGCGACAATCGCGGACTGAGCGATGCCCCTGCGTCTAATAGAATAGCAAGGTTGAAACAATTGAGCTGACCACGGCCACGACCACGCGCCTGCGCGGTAGGTAATAGGACCCTTGTCCAAACAACTCCGCAATACTCCTGGCAATATCGCCCATTACTTTCAGACGTTAATATTACTGGTGTTATTGTATAAACATGACGAATGAACTGCTTGCAATCTAATTGGATATCTTATCGACGAGATAGAGTCTATAGTGAGCTGTGAGGGGCATAATCTTGTAAAACATGGCAAAAGTTAATGTACGATTTGGACGCTCAATGACCTCGCATAAGATACTAAGCGTAAGTCAACACAATCGATTTCTTAATACCCGCAGATGTGTGGGAGAACAATAGGCGTACTGGAGTACCGGACGATTCGTTCATGAATCGAATGAACTGTGTAACACTGGTGAGCTTTTCAGTGCTATTAGGATGCAAAGATTCTATCGTCACGAGCGAACCGCACATAAATACAAGCACAATGTCAAGGCTGGCGTTCTGTTGACCTCCCGAGGTGCGAGTGTGCGACATACTTGATACACAACCGAGAATATTTGCATCACATTATCTTAGCCTTTGTTATAACATCTGCATTAACATAAAGACATTCTTTTAAAGTAAAGAGGCAACACCTGTAATAATTATACCAAGGAATTAATTTTGTTCGTAATTGCTTGCTTACATAGTATACTTATGTACCTACATCGTGCATGCCATATATTTATTGATCTTAACTCATGAAAATACTACATAAAACTTATGTGCATGACGTTATACGTTACACAAAGTGTAATACCGTATCTCACGTCATATGGAAAATTGTAAGCAGAGCAAAACAATAGGCGGCGACCGAAATAAAGACCGTTTATGTAGATTTATGTCACGATCTATTTTCAGATGCGCCCGCTCAGGCGTGAACTTGCAGAGGGCGCGAGTGCGCGCGCGCCGCTCGCGCTACGAGGAAAACATTGTTCAGGGAACCAGACAACCAGCGTCGATGATGTCGCACGACCATGATTTGGCAATGACGGCAACTTGACGTTTCTATTCATTGCGCGCTTTGCATGTGGGCGAAGCATCGTACGCGAATGTTAACGACCAATTAAATGTTCAGGGCCGGTATCTTCGCTTTCCACAGCCGTTTAGCGAGTCGTTAAAATTCTTAACTGATATCAAAGAAAATATTTCGCGATTGAATAAATGAAACTAGAAGGCGAAGACCCAGTTGATAGTGTTTGTAAACACTGCGCGGTGTCGCTTTTGTGATAAACACGTGTTATTGAGGCAACAGTTTAGTGTTCGTTAAGTTCCGTGTATTCGGTTGACTTTAAAGTTTTATTGGCAACACAGAGTTGGACTCGTAGTCTAGTTTAAGAGGTGCGATAAAAGTTGAGACAAGGAAGCGGGGTTAACTGGTAGACGCAGCGTCTGCCGCCACCTGTTGAGTCACAAACAAGATCAACTTGTGGCTTTAAGGATTAGCTCTAGTTCATCTTATTTTTCTTTGATTTGACATTTGGCAATCATCAAAAATTGTATTCTAGGCTAATTTGTATTCTGTCTGAGATCTACACGACAATACGTGCCTCCAATTTGCCTCAAACAACAGACATACTTATTTGTATCTCACTGATCGTCACTGGCCAATAGTGTCAATGCTTTGATCTACATGTGCAAGCGCGTCCATGACCTGCCCCACTTAATGAATGGGCTCGTCCGAGTGATCCCGAGGAGCCACTCCAGGGTCAACGAGTCCTGATTTGTTAAGTGTCCGGAACCAATGCATAGTGTGAACGTCGTGTCAAATTCATCAAACGTATTCCACTGTCGTCTGGAGGTTAGAGTTGAAGCCTATGTATCAAAAGGGCATGGAATATTTTAGATTACGACATTGCATTGCAAGCTCTATTCACTGGTTGACCGCAAATACAACCGATTCCATTAATTTCAATGTTTTGGAGGGCCATCAGTAATCACTTATCATAGAGCGGCGTTAAGCCCTTAACCTGATTGATTCATGTCGAATGCATAAAGTTTGAGTTCTAACTGGAAGAGATTCGGAAATTAAAAGGCTGGTATCTGTTTTCGTATACAAATAGCCGAAGTTATTTGCGATATACTCTCGAAATGCATTTATTTTATGACTTGCCTTTCGAGTAACAATTGAACGGAGGTAGGTCTTAGCGTGGCAGTGCATAGAGCAAGTTCATTGCAAGTAAATAATGTGACATTTGAACTAGCTGCATGTGCCCCCGACCTGCCCTATTTAATTGACAGCACGTCAGAGGACCCGAGCACTCCAGCCGGGGTCAACAAGTGCTGATTTGTTTAGTGCCCGCAACAATCATGGGGGACTTCAATCATTGGATTGTGCCTTTCAACTGTCAATAGAAGTATCGTAATAATTATTGACTTTGTCTATGAGGACGTATTCATTCCGTGTATTGGTTCGTTTGTCGATTTTAAAATGTTTTTGTCAACATTTGACGAAATTCGGCATTACCAATTCAGCAATTAACAATTAATTCTTTGACAAGCTGTTAACAAAATGTCTTTCCCACCGAGCTGTCTGTCGAACCGGTTACATCATATTTCTGTTTACATTAGGTGCTTCTTTACATTATGTGAAAATCCACAAGTTTTAAAACAATGCATGTGAATTCTCTCCGTTCCACGTGTCCAATCACTACCCAAAGTGCAGGTTTCATCGCTGTTTCCCACCAAAAGGGGACGACAAAAAAACCTCTGCGCAGGTTTCGCCGCTCGAAAGGCTGATGACTCTACCCCCCGGTGGGCGGGCGGCGCGCCCTGCGGCTGTTTGCGAAGGCCGCCCGCCTTGTAACAGCCTCAATGAGTTTCTGACTAGATTTCGGCCTGTTTAAATTTCAGGCATTGTTTATTTAGGAACGTTGTGTGTTTTACCATATTTTTTTTTATGAAAAAAGTATGCCACCAATGGATCTACTCAACAAGGTCCCCACCCGAGAATTTATAATGTCGGAACATGTCATTATTTTGTACCGCAGACATAATCAGTCCATCGATGCACCAATAACGTCAATTCCTTCACGTACCGCCAACCAACCGCGGTGTGGGAACAAAAAGATCCGCGCTTTGATGTCGCCGCCACCCACACACCTGTCGCGGCGCGTCCGACCAAGTTCACGGAAACGCGCCCATTCCGGACGCTATTGGCCGCGACATGGCTTGCTAAACTTTAATATGGCAACAAAACTTCGTGATATTTAGGAAACTTTAAAATAAGTACTTCATAAAATGTTACGAGGATCGTCGAAGTTTCAAGTTCTTGTAAATGTATCTTTGGATGTCGAGTTTGAAGCGGCGCAGACAGTCCTGAATCACGTTTACGAGACACAATTCGCGACGTTCCCGTTTATTCGTGCATTTTCGGAGGCGAAACGACCGCCTGGGCGCCCGAGATACGGGGCGAGCTTATCTGGGCAAACAGCGGTATCTCCGAAAGCTGTAGTCTCATTAATTACGTTAATTGTCGGCGGTTCCGTAGCGAGCTCCGCATTGTCGCCGGCGACGCGATGCGGATCTGCCGTCAGCCGTCAACTAGCCGGCACTTGGTTAACGAGCCGAGCCCTTTGTCTATGGGAATTATTAATGGAAACTGTGTTACGGAGCAAATGTAGTCATTTTGTTACGAAGCAAACTGGAGTGTTGCTAATTAATCATTTAAAATATTAAGTTATGTTTTCTACATTATCGCCTGACCCGAGACGAAATTATGGCTGTTGTTTCTTACATTTGTTTACATATTTCATAAATATGAATAGGTTCCCACGATAGAATATGAGATGCTTTAATGCACAAAGGCATTCGTAATCCACAGTCATAACAAAGTGCATTAGGGGATGCCTATGTTTATCAGTCGATTGATTGAAGCTGATGACTATAAATCACTGAGTACTCACGGCTGGCGATCAGCTCCGGCGCAACCAAGCCATTCAGGTCCGGCTCCTCGCCGTACCAGAAGATCCAGAGTTCCTTGGCGGCGCGCAGCGAGAGCGGCGGCGGCGGCGCGGGCGCCGGCGTCTCGTAGATGTTGTCGGGCGGCGGCTGCGGCGCCGGCACGCGGCGCCACACGCACAAGATGTCGCCCGCCAGGCAGCGCGCGTAGGAGCTGATGACAGGATCCGCGAGCGGCGCCGCGCCCTCCTCGCCATCGCCGCCGCCGGTTGTCTCGCCCCATACCAGCTTACGCCATTTTATGCCATACAGCTCCGTCTGGAAGATAAGAGTTTGCCATTAGTATACTGCTTTGTCTTCATCAGGTCGTACAGTCGCTGCAGGAGAAGTGAAGCTGTACTTAGCAATGGAAAACTTAGGTCATTCATTGTTATTGGAAAACCAAGGGTCTCTCTTCTCAGTCGGTACACTCTTGCAAGAGTGTCGGTAAACTCTGACACTCATGGTCGTGGTCATCATTGCGAATGACGATGAGTGATGTTTTTTGCAATACGGCCAAACCTAAGGCCAAAACCAAGGGTACTGTGATTTTAAGGTTCTTAGAACTTTTAAGGAATTGATATCAATGACGTTCCCCCGAAATCAACTACACAACAGAGTCAGCACTCTCTACAGATCCGTACAATGTATTGTGTTTAAACATTCATTGCAGCGAGCCTAGTGTTTTTAAATTTGTAGAGCTGTTCTTGAATAAAATTTTCTCCACATTCTTAATGCTCAACCTAATATTAGACAAACAAATAGGCCCAATGTGTTCACAGGTGCTACGGCATTATCTAAACTAGAATCGCCAGGCTTTTTACTGCCAGCTGTCAACACGCAGAGCATCGCGATGATCTTGCACAATTAAAGTTCACGGCGCGAATTAAAACTGTATCCAACAACAGAACGTGATACATTGATGATTGTTTTTTGATATGAATGATCATTCAACAAAATATCAGATAAGAGTTACGGATACGAATCTATAGTGCTTTAAGCTTTTTTTTTGAGATTCAAATACATAATTCATTTAAAGTAGACTAAATATCATGCCACTTGTGTTGTTATTGTTTTTAGGTACTTCTTTACAAAAGGAACAGGAACACAGCCTAATCCATTAAAGACGCGAAATGAGTAACTAGGGCTGATATCGAACCGCTATATCTGGTAACAACAATTTCGTTATGGAGACCTGGTAAATGGAGCGTGGTTTTCTCATTTGGAATTATTCTGGATTCACAAGGATGATGGAGGATGCGGCAGGCCTCGAGATCTAAATGTGGTGTTGGCAGCGGGCCAGCCGAGGTGCACAAAGGTGTCCCGTACTTTGCATATTCCATGCGGAAATGACTGCGCGGCATTGTCTTTGTATGCTCTTAGTTCTGTTAGGACTTAGCGAGCTTATATCTTTTGGAAAGGATAATTTTCGGGAGTGGCAAGGACAAAGAGACAAAAGGATATTTTATGTTTTATGATGTGCACAAAAAGTGACAAGACAAGACAACTATCGACAAGTAACACGAAAAGTTTGAAGAGTCACATTTAACGAAGGTCGCGGTAACTTTATCGCTTAGATATTAATACACCTCGTTATTATTGGATCGTCCAAAACTGTACGACTTATTCCCGTCTCGTTTCTGCTGCATTTGGGATGTGGCAACGGGATCTGGGATTCGGTATGCGCCCTATGACGCGGGGCAATAAACACTTCGTTTGCGTCCGTCGGCAGGTGTTACGGCGACCTTGGCTTCGCACTGCATGCAAATATCAGGTCAAGAACCTTGCGTTCTTCTAAAAAGTATTTTCACCAGAAGTTTTGTAGGTGTCCTTTGGACTTGATTAAGTGATTACGTCATAGAAAATTTTGTGTTTTCAAAATTTTTTGACACGTCTCGGGACCATAACAATGCATTTTGCTTCGTAATTGCAACTAAGTAGACCGGTTTGACGTTAATATTCCCCAATAACAAGAGCCGTCTGCGGTACTTCACCTTCACGATTGCGTTCTTCATTGTTATTTTGATGACTAAATGTCAAATGAATTGAATATTATCCTGCTTTCACCTCCGAGATTTATTTTACCATGTAGTACCCCTGTACGACAACCCAATCCGCACACAATATTCAGCGTAGTAGTAGTAAAAAACAAAAGAGCGGGCAACCCCACCCCTACCACGCTGTGGGCTCGGTGTCCGAGCGGTCTCATTCCTTTGTGCGCACGCGCAACGACCGCACGCAGTATAAGAAAAATGCTTAAGTGACGTCACCAGGACGTTTTTACCGACAAAAAACGTAATTATTTTAANTCCAACTTACTGTCAACTCAACGACGCGCTTTAAAATCAAAGATTGTCTTTGAATTATGCCTTATCTTACAATACACATTGAAAACAATATGACTTGCTTGAGCTTTTTCGATTTTTTCACAAAAATAACAAATAGGCATGAAGGGATTACAAAATTTCTGCAGCAACTGACAGTTCACTTGATTTACTTTGACAGGTGACAATAAAGCCATAGACAATTGCCATATGAAAGACACACTTTTCCAATATTTTTGTTTGCCATGAGATTCTGGTACACCTATACCTACCTATCATTTAATGAAAAGATAAACTAAACTTTTTCAGCACAACGAAAATCTGCTTTGGCGCGTAGCAATGCAACGTGACAACTGCAGTTCGGACTTCTTTATGCGTCCACTACACATTACAATAAAATTCGAACTATCGCACATTTTTTCTTTTTAATTCTAATTCAGTAAAAAACGTATTTGGAAACCTTCATTCAAAATTCAAAAGTTATCATCATATGACAGAACTAATGACCAGACTATGTAAGTACATTGATACAATATTTTTCTTTTTATCATCAAGCTTAGCAGTCTAATAAGTTACTATGACACTCGAGNTCATAATATTATCTGTTATGTTGGTGAGAAATAAACATTACTTTACTTTATTTTAAACTTCCAGACATCCAAACTTTCGCATTTATAATATTAGTAGGATACAATTATGTAATGTAGAAACAAACGAGACAAAAAAAATGTATACTTCAGAAACGCGAATTTTTTAATACTTCAGCATATTTAGGACACCCGGCAGCGTGTCCTGTCATGATGAAATAAAAAATAATTCGCAATATAGCAGGTACATTAATTTGACTGTTTCACAACTCTAAATCTATTTAACTTACATTACTAACAAATAACTGGACTATTTACTCGTTATTGAGCACAGAGACACAAACTTGGTTATTTTTCCAGAAAATTTATATTACGTGCATAAATGTAAAAATGGCTTCATACTGCACAAAATTGGCAATAGGTGGCATAATAATGGTTACTTTTTTAGCGCCTAGTTTGAAATGTGATTGAACGATGACAACTAACAACAGTTGTCAGTTACGTAACATTTTATTTTAGTTGGAAAAAGACAAAAAGTGGTAAATGGGTTAACGTGCGGGGGCTGCAAAATCATGTTGTGACGTCACGCGCGAATATTAGAAATTTTTGAAAATTTTAAAATGTCCGTAAACTTCTCGAGGCTCTATCTTCGGTAATACTGGATGGATTGAGGTGAAATAAAAACTAGTGTAATGTGTGTGATCTAAACTTTAAATTAAGTCATAATTTAACTTAATATTACAACTTATGCGTGTTGTCCATTATTAATGGAAACTGTGTTACGGAGCAAATGTAGTCATTTTGTTACAAAGCAAACTGGAGTGTTGCTAATTAATCATTTAAAATATTAAGTTATGTTTTCTACATTATCGCCTGACTCGAGACGAAATTATGGTTGTTGTCGCTTACATTTGTTTACATATTTCATAAATATGTATAGGTTCCCACGATAGAATATGACATGCTTTAATGCACAAAGGCATTCGTAATCCACAGTCATAACAAAGTGCATTAGGGGATGCCTATGTTTATCAGTCGATTGATTGAGGCTGTTGACTATAAATCACTGAGTACTCACGGCTGGCGATCAGCTCCGGCGCAACCAAGCCATTCAGGTCCGGCTCCTCGCCGTACCAGAAGATCCAGAGCTCCTTGGCGGCGCGCAGCGAGAGCGGCGGCGGCGGCGCGGGCGCCGGCGTCTCGTAGATGTTGTCGGGCGGCGGCTGCGGCGCCGGCACGCGGCGCCACACGCACAGTATGTCGCCCGCCAGGCAGCGCGCGTAGGAGCTGATGACAGGATCCGCGAGCGGCGCCGCGCCCTCCTCGCCGTCGCCGCCGCCGGTTGTCTCGCCCCATACCAGCTTACGCCATTTTATGCCATACAGCTCCGTCTGGAAGAGAAGAGATTGCCATTAGTTCAGCTTCATCAGGTCGTACAGTCACTGCAGAAGTGTAGCTGTACTAAGCAAATGGAAAACTTAGGTCATTCATTGTTATTGGAAAACCAAGGGTCTCTCTTCTCAGTCGGTACACTCGTGCCAGAGTGGTCGTGGTCATCATTGTGAATCACGATCAGTGATGTTTTTTGCAATACGGCCAAACCCAAGGCCAAAACCAAGGGTACTGTGATTTTAAGGTTCTTAGAACTTTTAAGGAATTGATATCAATGACGTTCCCCCGAAATCAACTACACAACAGAGTCAGCACTCTCTACACATCCGTACAATGTATTGTGTTTAAACATTCTTTGCAGCGAGCCTAGTGTTTTTAAATTTGTAGAGCTGTTCTTGAATACAATTTTCTCCACATTCTTAATGCTCAACCTAATATTAGACAAACAAATAGGCCCAATGTGTTCACAGGTGCTATGGCATTATCTAAACTAGAATCGCCAGCCTTTTTACTGCCAGCTGTCAACACGCAGAGCATCGCGATGATCTTGCACAATTAAAGTTCACGGCGCGAATTAAAACTGTATCCAACAACAGAACGTGATACATCGATGATTGTTTTTTGATATGAATGATCATTCAAAAAAATATCAGATAAGAGTTACGGATACGGATCAATAGTGCTTTAAGCTTTTTTTTGAGATTCAAATACATAATTGATTTAAAGTAGACTAAATGTCATGCCACTTGTGTTGTTATTGTTGTTATTCAGGTACTTCTTTACAAAAGGAACAGGAACACAGCCTAATCCATTAAAGACGCGAAATGAGTAACTAGGGCTGATATCGAACCGCTATATCTGGTAACAACAATTTCGTTATGGAGACTAGGTAAACGGAGCGTGGTGTTCTCATTTGGAATTATTTTGAATCCACAAGGATGATGGAGGATGCGGCAGGCCTCGAGATCTAAATGTGGTGTTGGCAGCGGGCCAGCCGAGGTGCACAAAGGTGTCCCGTACTTTGCATATTCCATGCGGAAATGACTGCGCGGCATTGTCTTTGTAAGCTCTTAGTTCTGTTAGGACTTAGCGAGCTTATATCTTTTGGCAAATGATAATTTTCGGGAGTGGCAAGGACAAAGAGACAAAAGAATCCTTTATGTTATTGTGAACAAAAAATTACAAGACAACCATCGACAAGTAACACGAAAAGTTTGAAGAGTCACATTTAACGAAGGTCGCGGTAACTTTATCGCTTAGATATTAATACACCTCGTTATTATTGGATCGTCCAAAACTGTACGACTTATTCCCGTCTCGTTTCTGCTGCATTTGGGATGTGGCAACGGGATCTGGGATTCGGTATGCGCCCTATGACGCGGGGCAATAAACACTTCGTTTGCGTCCGTCGGCAGGTGTTGCGGCGACCTTGGCTTCGCACTGCATGCAAATATCAGGTCAAGAACCTCGCGTTCTTCTAAAAAGTATTTTCACCAGAAGTTTTGTAGGTGTCCTTTGGACTTGATTAAGTGATTCCGTCATAGAAAATTTTGAAAACAAGTGACACGTCTCGGGACCATAACAATGCATTTTGCTTCGTAATTGCAACTAAGTAGACCGGTTTGACGTTAATATTCCCCAATAACAAGAGCCGTCTGCGGTACTTCACCTTCACGATTGCGTTCTTCATTGTTATTTTGATGACTAAATGTCAAATGAATTGAATAAAATACAATAACACGTTCAGGCTTTTCCACGGTTAATATAAAGGTTGTAATTTGGTAGTGCCTATGAGTCAGCAAAGCGAACGTCACTATAAATCAATGTGGAATATTCAAAAAACTTTGTAAGATTATTGAAGTTGAGCAAAGACATGTAGGTGATAATTCCTTCAGCGTCTGGTCGAGGTGTGTGGACTTCTTGCCACAAGGTTACATCTGCAGAGGGTCGCCACACCTGGCCGACTGGCCCGTGGGGTCGGCACCGTAAGGGTAGGGTTAATTGCCAACCAGTTTAGCGCCGAAGAGGGTTATTGCTTGTATGTTTGGGGAAGGGCGGCGTGTTACGATACGATAATTATACGATGCCTCGAAGTGTTACCAGTCAATTTTGCGGTCGCTACGCTTTTAACACGTATGCTTTTGCAAATACATAATTTGCAAGTAGTAAAGTTTTGAAAATATAAAGATTGCAAATAAAGACATTAATCCGTTTGCGATCTACATTTATCTAGCACCAGATCGACATAACAGTAGTCATAATGATAGATTTAGTCAAACCGACCCAGACAAGATTTCTGAGATCGCATCTTAAGCAGTCTGCTGACCTACTATCCCTTTTTATTAGTAACTGGGCTAGTTTAACCAAAAACCCTCAGGCTACGAATTTATGAATAAAGCTTCTTCTAGACAAGCTCAAGTAACACAAAAACTTCAAATTTCATAGCTGAGGTCCCGAACAAAGATATCAAGTGCGAGGGAGACCCAGATCGTGGTATTACTACACTTAGTCTATTTTACACATCTATCTATTTAGTCTATGTCACACCGAGTCTATTTTACGATATTGTGAAGTTCTGAAAACCAATCAAACTCTGAAGAAAAGACGAGACAGTTTGTCGGACCATTAAACCTTCCAGAGAAGATTTTTAAGGCTCAGTAGGCCTAAGATGCGCGCCACGATAAGCGGTTATCACGCCATTTTATCGATTTTGCCCATACATTTTGACGTCGATAAAAGTTATCACGGCGCGCATCTTAGGCCTACAGGCTACATTTTATGTACCTACTCGAGAATATGAACACGAAATAGCTCACGTGAATGCAGTACATACATGTGAAAGAATGCGCCATGGCCGGTGTCGTGAACGTTCGGCCGGCCGCTTTCTACCGGCCCGATGCGCCTGCGCCGCTTCACTTTCTATTGTGTGACGCGCCGCGCCGCCATTGAACCAAACCAAACGTCTTTATTGGAGCACTCTTATAATGTTGTCGTGGAAAGATAAGATGCATGTTTAAGATTTAATTAGCAAAAAGGCTTTTAAGTATTCCGCTGCTTAGATTCTTTTGTTGCAAAAAGGATGGACCAAGGATGCGAGGTGGTGGTATGGCTTTGCTATGTATACCTTAATATATTTTTGGAAAGCTTTCTGTGTTGGTTTTGACAACAAACTTTTAGTACCTTAGTACACAGTAACAAAGCAATTAGTATACCTAACAAGCAAGAAATCTATTTAAAATCGGTAGGTATGTCGCATAAATCAAACTTTTCTAGTAATTAGTAAGCAATTTACTTTGAAAAGCTGACAATGTTCAGCGCCGAGTTGAACAAACTAGCAAATATGAAACATGTAGAGATGACATTGATGCCGAGCGATAAGCTGGTAAAAGCTCCGATTAAAATAATTAATTATTATTGGCAGCTAATGATGGTTTGTAATTACAGTTTACAGGGAATAATATAACCAAAATCGAGGTGGTTCTGTTCTATTTGATAATAATGTACCGAAAAAGAGAGCTTTTGTGCTCATCATTCGTTATTGCACTTCATAGAATTTATTGGTTGGTTCAATTTTAATTTGATTTGTATTTAGCTTCATCAAAATAACAATTGCTTGTCTGTTAGGGTTATTGATACTATAAATAAAATTTATAGCAACTAAAAATAACATTTTTGTGTTTGTTACGATGTTTACGGTACGGTTTAATGTTAAAACTTAAAACATGAATGTCTTAGTAAGTCAGTGTATTATGGTAACATTGCTGCTCTAACAACGCCGGGAGCACAGGCTCTCCGGGAAAATCGCGGTTATTTGAATTTAAAATGCGAAACGAGCGACGGATGGACGAGCAGACCCGGCGATAACACCCGGATGAAGCCAACCGAGCCGGGTGCTCTCCGGAAAAATCCGCCCGTAACCGGTTCTAAAGCGGAGTTACGTCACTTGAAGCAGGCTTTGAAAAGTTGGACGCAAATGAGGGTAGCGCTAGAGACCACACAGAAAATCCGAAAACTTTACACGCGAAATAATCTATGCCTTTAAATATTCGTTGATCGTATAATCAAATTATGCTTGTTTGTCATAAATGGGTGTTTCTCTGCTATTTGGAAAATCGTCCATACAAGACTGTCCTGAAGTAATTTTATTAAATGTTGAGAAATTTTGTTAACGAAATTTAGGGCAATAGTAATTTAAATACATATCTAAAAAAAGCCCACACATTTTCCCCTTAGTTTTTGGGTTATTGGCGATTTTTCGCAAAATTGCGACAGGGGAATGTTGCAACCACCCAGGGGAATGTATCATGGACAAAAACAATTAGTATTTTTCTTTGAATAAACAAACTCTTTATTTTTCTTTGCTATTATAAAAATATGTAAGTTTTTGTAACAAAAAATATTATTATTAAAACAAATATTACTAATTTTAACGACTTTTCTTAAGCCTAATAACAGTAGCATTAAACTTAACGAACAATTAAGTTTTAAGACTTAAATTGTATGACACTAAAGTCAGTCTTTATAATAATCAAAAATGTAGTATCCTGCCTTTTAAAACAGAACCAAAAAAATACAAAAAGAAATAAACAAAAAACATTATTACTGCTAATTTTTGTTTTTTGACCCCGTTTCTGGTGAATGTAGTATTGAAACGCTATTCTTGTTATTTTGTGTTGGGTCAANATTCTTTTACGGCCGTCCCCACACGGCACCTTATCACTATCAACATACTGGTCAAAAGCAATTCAAACGATTAAAGTTAAAGTGCGCGGGAGTTGTTTGTAGCTGAAGAATTATCAAGATAAACTCAAGTTGTAGATATAAAACTTATCTATCAACGATCTTAAAGATCAGTATGGAGGAATAGAAATTTGAGTCACGTTTGTAGATTACGCCCATAATTTTGTTAAATGTTCAATGTAATGAGATTTCCCGAATAATTAACTGCCTAACATGGAATTTCCTTTGGCAGGTTTTGTAGAGTCACAATACTCTAAAC